TGCTCTTGCTCAGGCTGGTTTCAAACTCCTGACCTGGAGCAATCCGCCCGCCTTGGCCTCCCAGAGTGCTAGGATTACAGGCGTGAGCCACGGCGCCTGGCCCCCTTTGCTTATTTTTAATCAGGTTGTTTTCTTGCTATTAAGATGTCTGAGATCCTTATATATTTTAGATATTAACCCCTTATCAGATGCATGGTTCACAAATAGTTATGTGTTGCTTAGATACGAGGTGTCCCAAGTCTCCATACAAAGGAAAACTTTTGTAAAATTTTGTAATGAATATTTTGTAAATAAAGGTACATTCAGCTAAAATTTCCCATTTCCCCTATGTATGGCGACTTTTGGGACACGATGTACAATACATTCTGAGAAACGTTAGGTGATTTTGTTGGGTGAATATCGTAGAGTGCACTTACAGAAACCTAGATGTATAACCTACTCCACACCTACGCTATCTGGTATAGCGAGCCTATTGCTCCTAGGCTACAAACCCATACAGCATGTTACTGTACTGAATACTGTAGGCAGCTGTAACACAGTGACATTTGTGTATCTACACAAATCTATAAACACAGAAAATGTATAGTAAAAATACAGCATAAAAGATAAAAAATGGTACACCTTTATATGGCACTTACTATGAACAGAGCTTTCCGGACTGTAAGTTGTTCTGGGTGAGCCAGTGAATGGTGAGTGAATGGGAAGGCTTAGGGCATTACTGTACACTAATGTAGATATTATAAACACTTTATATATGCTAAATTTATTAAAAATGTTTTTCTTTCTTCAATAATAAACTTTTACTGTAACTTTGAGACACAGTCTTGCTCTGTCACCCTAGGTACAGTGCAGTGGTATCATCATAGCTCATAGTAACCTCAAACTCCTGGGTTCAAGTGATCCTCCTGCCTCAGCCTCCCAAGTAGCTGGTACTACATATGCCAGCCACAACGACTGGCCATTCTTTTTATTTTTAGTAGAGACGGAGTCTCATTCTAGCTCTGGCTGGTCTCCAATCTCCTGGACTCAAGCAATCCTCCTGCCTCAGCCTCCCAAGTAGCTGGGACTACAGGCATGCACCACCATGCCCGGCTAATTTATATATATATATATATTAGTTGGCCAGTTAATTTCTACTTATAGTAGAGATGGGGTCTTGCTCTTGCTCAGGCTGGTTTCAAACTCCTGACCTGGAGCAATCCACCCGCCTTGGCCTCCCAGAGTGCTAGGATTACAGGCGTGAGCCACGGCGCCTGGCCCCCTTTGCTTATTTTTAATCAGGTTGTTTTCTTGCTATTAAGATGTCTGAGATCCTTATATATTTTAGATATTAACCCCTTATCAGATGCATGGTTCACAAATAGTTATGTGTTGCTTAGATACGAGGTGTCCCAAGTCTCCATACAAAGGAAAACTTTTGTAAAATTTTGTAATGAATATTTTGTAAATAAAGGTACATTCAGCTAAAATTTCCCATTTCCCCTATGTATGGCGACTTTTGGGACACGATGTACAATACATTCTGAGAAACGTTAGGTGATTTTGTTGGGTGAATATCGTAGAGTGCACTTACAGAAACCTAGATGTATAACCTACTCCACACCTACGCTATCTGGTATAGCGAGCCTATTGCTCCTAGGCTACAAACCCATACAGCATGTTACTGTACTGAATACTGTAGGCAGCTGTAACACAGTGACATTTGTGTATCTACACAAATCTATAAACACAGAAAATGTATAGTAAAAATACAGCATAAAAGATAAAAAATGGTACACCTTTATATGGCACTTACTATGAACAGAGCTTTCCGGACTGTAAGTTGTTCTGGGTGAGCCAGTGAATGGTGAGTGAATGGGAAGGCTTAGGGCATTACTGTACACTAATGTAGATATTATAAACACTTTATATATGCTAAATTTATTAAAAATGTTTTTCTTTCTTCAATAATAAACTTTTACTGTAACTTTGAGACACAGTCTTGCTCTGTCACCCTAGGTACAGTGCAGTGGTATCATCATAGCTCATAGTAACCTCAAACTCCTGGGTTCAAGTGATCCTCCTGCCTCAGCCTCCCAAGTAGCTGGTACTACATATGCCAGCCACAACGACTGGCCATTCTTTTTATTTTTAGTAGAGACGGAGTCTCATTCTAGCTCTGGCTGGTCTCCAACTCCTGAACTCAAGCGATCCTCCTGCCTGAGCCTCCCAGAGTGCTAGGATTACAGGCATGAGCTACCATGCCCGGCCTTACTGTAACTTTTTGCTTTATAAATTTTAATTTGTTAAAACTTTTTGGCTCTTGTAATAACACTTAGCTTAAAATACAAACACATTATACAGCAATACAAAAATATTTTGTTACATCCTTTATACTATAAGCTTTTGTTTTTAAATTTTTAAAATTTCCTTTTTTTTTTTTTAACTTTTTTTTTTGAGACAGAGTCTGTCTATGTTGCCCGGGCTAGAGTGCCATGGCATCTGCCTAGCTCCCAGCAACCTCAAACTCCTGGGCTCAAGCAATCTTCCTGCCTCAGCCTCCAGAGAAGCTGGGACTACAGGCATGCGCCACCATGCCCGGCTAATTTTTTCTATATATATATATTTCTTAGCTGTCCAGATAATTTCTATTTTTAGTCGAGACAGGGTCTCACTCTTGCTCAGGCTGGTCTCAAACTCCTGACCTTGAGCGATCCTCCCCTCGGCCTCCCAGAGTGTTAGGATTACAAGTATGAGCCACTGCACCCGGCCTATTTTTTAAACTTTTTTGTTAAAAACTAAGACACACATTAGCCTAGGCCACACAGGATCAGAATGATCAGGACATCACTAGGCAACAGTAAATTTTCAGCTCTATTATCTTATGGGACCACAGGCGTATGTGCAGTTCATCGTCAGAGAAGTTGTATGCTGTATGACTGTGTGTTCTTCCGTTCCACAGGTTGTCTCTTCATGCTGCTGTTTCCTTTGCTGTGCAAATTATTAGTTTAATGTGTATTTTTGCTCTTGTTGCCTGGGCTCTTGTGGTCAAATCCAAAAAAAAAAAAAAAAAATCACTGTCCAGACCAACGTCATATCCATTGTTGATTTTTGTACACAGTGTGAGATGAAGGTCTAATTTCTCCCATCTGCAAGTGGACACCCAGTTTTCCCAACATCATTTTTTGAAGAGACTGTCCTTTTCCCATTATGTTCTTGGCACCTTTCTAGAAAATCAATTGCCCATAAGTGTATGGGTTCATTTTCTGGGCTATTCTGTTCCACTGGTTAATGTGTCTATTTTATGCCAGCATCATGCTGTTTTGATTACTATAGCTTTGTAATATATTTTGAAATCAGGTGGTGTGATGGCTCCAGTTTTGTTTGTTTTTACTCAAGATCACTTTGGCTATTCAGGGTCTTTTGTGGTTTCATATAAATTTTAGGATTTTTTTTCTTTTTTTGAGACAGAGTCTCACACTGTTGCCCTGGCTAGAGTGCCATGACATCAGCCTAGTTCACAGCAACCTCAAACTCCTGGGCTCAAGCAATCCTCCTGCCTCAGCCTGCTGAGTAGCTGGGACTACAGGCATGTGCCATCATGCCCGGGTAATTTTTTCTATATATTTTTAGTTGGCCAATTAATTTTTTTTTTCTATTTTTAGTAGAGACAGAGTCTCTCTCTTGCTCAGGCTGGTCTCGAACTCCTGAGCTCAAATGATCCACCCATCTCAGCCTCCCAGAGTGCTAGGATTACAGGTGTGAGCCACCACGCCTGGCCCAATTTTTTTTTCTATTTCTGTCAAAAATGACATTGGAATTTTGATAGGGTTTGCACAGAATCTGTAGATTGCTTTGGGTAGTATGAACATTTTAACAGTATTAATTCTCCCATTTCAGGAACATGGGATATTTTTCTATTTGTCTTTAATTTTTCATCAATATTCTATAGTTTTCAGTGAATAGGTCTTTCACCTCCTTGGTTAAATTTATTCTGAAGTATTTAATTTGCATGTAGCTATTGTAAATGGGATTTTCTTGATTTCTTCCCAGAGAGTTCGTTGTTAGAGCACAGAAGTGCTACAGGCTCTGTATCCTGCAGCTTTCCTACTGTACTCACTTATTAGTTCTCACAGGTTTTTTTTGGTAGACTCTTTAGGGTTTTCTATATATAAGATCATGTTAGGAAACAATTTCACTTCTTCCTTTCCTGTTTGAATACTTTTCACTTCTTTCTCTTGCCTAGCTGCTCTAGCTAGGACTTTCAGGACTATTTTGAACAAAATTGGAGAGAGTGGGCATCCTTGTCTTAGAGGACAGACTTTCAACTTCTCATCATTGAGTATGTTGGCTGTCGACTTTTCATATATGGCTTTTATTGTGTTGAGGTATGCTCCATCTGTGCCTAATTTGAGGTTTTTTCCTTTTTGAGACAGGGTTTCTGTCTGTCCCCCAGGCTAGAGTACAGTGGCATGATCACAGCTTACTGTAGCCTCTAAATCCTGAGCTCAAGCGATCCTCCTGCCTCAGCCTCCTGAGTAGCTGGGAACTACAGGAGTGCACCACCATGCCTGGCTAATTTTTAAAATTTTCTACAGAGTCTTGTGGTTGCCCAGGCTGGTCTCGAACTCCTGGCTTCAAGTGATCCTCCTGCCTCAGCTTCCCAAAGTGCTAGGATTATAGGGGTGAGCCACCACACCCAGCACTAATTTGAGAGTTTTTATCATGAAAATATGTCAAACTTTGTCAAATGTTTTTGTATCTAATGAGATGATCTAATTTTTAAATCTAAAAACTTGCTATGTGATCATGTGTTTTACCTCCTTCTCAAGTCCACACTCCCTCCTCCTGGAAGCTGCAGATTACTGCAGCTGAATTAGAAGAGTTGAAGAGGCTCTTCCAATAACAATTTTGTGGCCTTTTTCTTAGACCACTCTGAGACACTCTAACTCCATCCCTGCTCAAATTTTTCTCCCTGTTCTGAGAACTCAAAGGTTTCAACCCGTCACAGTACCCAATGCCCACTGTAAAGAATACATGATTTTATTAAAGACATCATCAACAGCATTGATTCAAGGAACAAAACAGATGAAAAAAACAAAAGCAGACTAACATTCTGACTCTGGAGTGAGACCTGCTGAATTCTTACAGCTCAATCTGTAAGTGTCCCAAGCTGGGAGCAGCTTCTCAAGCAGGAAAGCTCAGGCACTCTGGCTCTGTGGGGACCTCCCTTGAGAATCTGGAGAGGGGAACTCACCAAGGGCAAGTCCTTTCTTCAGACAGTATCCCACTGGGAGCTCAGCCTAACCAAGACATGGTCCCTGTGCTCTTGACTTTCATCTCAGGGTCAGAGAGAGGGCATCAGACCCAGTGCTGCCAGAGGCAAATCAGATGCAGTGATTCAAGTAGTATGGTCCCAGCAGGGAGGGTAGGGCACAGGCAAGAGGGAATGCATCAGGTGTCCTGGGCAGTGTCTGCTGGGTCCCAGGCAGTGGCCCAAACCTCAGGCTGTGAAGGAGTCAAAGTGGGGCTGAACCACCAGCCAACAAGTTCCAGGTAGAGGCTGGACCAGGCTGGTAGGAGGCAGTGTGTGTCTCTGCCTCATCCCAGGGGTCCCTGAGTCTCCTTTACACGCAGTTCCTGTACAGAGAGAGCTCAGAGCCCTCCCAGCCCTCTTCCTGCTGGAAAACCAGGAAGGTCCTGGGGCAGGGAGAAAAGATGCTGACTTTGACCTTGGGAAACAAAGAGGACCATGTCTCCAACTCCTTTCTACCTTCCCAGGCCCACCTCTTGTCCCCAAAGCGCTTGCCAATCTGCAATAAATAGCCAGGAGTCTCAATAAATAGTAAAAATCTCCCGAATACTGTGTGTTCGGAGAAGAGGAAACAGGCAAGTGCACAAAGTCCCAGCAGCCTCCAAGGAAAAGCCTGGTAAAGGAGCCACCTGGGAGAAGGTGTTTCTGGCCCACAGCCAGGCCTGGGAAGGCAGCAAGAGGTCCCACCTGCCAGACTCAGGAAGGCTTTCGGGACCTGGTTCCTGCTGGCCATCTGGGAAGAGGATGAGGACCTTTGCCAAGTTACCTGGGCTTCCAGACACAAACCACCTGCCTGCTCACAAAAGGAGGGAGGGCACTTGGTCAGAAGAAGCCCCACCCTCCCAGAGCTGGGAGTAGGCACGCTGCCCCTGCTCAGAGTGCACCTGCCCCAACCCTGGGAACAGCCCAAGCAGGTGCCCAGAGAAGGGCCAGCAGCACCGCCAGCCTGCATGGACTGGAGGGGCACATAGAGATGCAGCCATGGCCCTCCTGGCACTGACAGGATCCAAGGCCTAATGCTCAGCTACGGCTGGCCCGGGGATGTGCCGGGTCCCACCTGCCCTTTATGGGACTCACCACCCTGGGCTGGAACCTGGAGGCCAAGGGAATGACAACTCTTGTGAAGCACTTGGATGCCAACCCTGGGTACAGAGTCACCTTAGTGTCCTTTTCCTTTGGGACAGGAGGGCCTTTGGGGGCACTTCCAGAAAACCCAGCTTTCCTTGTCCTTCTCCCTCCCTGGGCAGAAAGCAGGGGCAAGAGGACCAAAGCCTCAACAATTCTCAGCAGCTTTTGGTTTCCAAGAATCCTGTTATAGGAAGCAGGTTCAGGGCCCTATAGTGAGGCATTGAGGACTCCCTCCCAGCCTGGGGACCTGGGAGCCTGGGGTTGTGGGATGAGAAAGTATGCAAAGGCCAAGGTTGATCTCCAGGGGCCTTGCTGAGCCAGATGCCTCATACTGTCTCCCGGTTCATGGGAGTGGAGGGGAGGAGAGGGGGAAAGAGGCTCAGAATAAGGCACCCCAAGAGAGAAGGGCAAAAGGAGAGTAATGGCGAGAGGAACATAGAGTGAGGGGGCGTACACACCCGCTGCAACAGAGGTGGAGGGTGACAGAGGTAGAGAGGGGGCAAAGAAGGAGAAGCAGTGAGACCAAGTGGGATTCAGATACCCTCACCCCTCACCCCCGTCCACACACACACACACACACACAAAACACACACACACACGAATGTACAGACGCCTGGGGAATTCAGGGACACATACACACCAACACCACCAGATAGACACATGATTAGTGGGAGACACACAGAGGGTGTGACCTGGGCCTGGCAGATGCTTAGTGCCCTCAGGGTAGTGACCCTGGAGAAGCCTATGGAGTGACCATATGGTAGTGAAGCCTATAGTAGTGACCCCATGGAGAAGCCTAAGCACCAACCCTCAGAAATGGTTTCTGGCCCCTTTGCCAAAGCACCTCCCTAACCAGCGCCCAGGAAAAGACCAGAAGCAGGAACTGAGGCAGGGAGGGGCCCTGGCCAGCCTCCCAGTACCCCCACACAGACCCTGGCCCCAGAAAAGAGAACTTCCCAAGCCCCAACCCTGCTCAGAGGCCAGGGCAAAGGGTCGCTGGGCTGAAGAGCTGGCAGGGAGCCGGGCCTGGTGGTAGGGAAGGGACACGGCACAGTGTGCTCCCAGTGGGAGCGGCCTAGGGCGAGAAGCCAGGGCAGGAAGGACTGGAGTGGATCAATCCTGCAGCTTCCCCCCGGGCTAGGGGCCCCACAGGCTTCTGCGTGTCCCAGTAGCCAGGGCACCAGGTCCAGTGGCTGCTCTCCCAAACCTTGGCCTACTTTGAGTCTTGGAGTTCCTTGGCTTTCTGTAGGATCTGGCAGACGTCTGTGATGGGGTAATCCTGGGCATGAGAAAGGCCAACAAAATGCCTGAGCCAGCTCACCCTTTGCCATCTCTGCCACACCTGTACCCTTCCCACTGGGGCCTGTCACCATGCTGCACCCTGGGCCCAGGGCAGGGACCACAGAACATCAGACATTCCGCACATGCTGCCCAAACCCCTGGGTAGAGCCAACGCAGCACCCACTGCAGCACTAGCTGAGCCAACCCAAACAGCACCACCCAGGGGTCCCACAGCCCCCTCCTCAGGACCAGGACCAGGGCCCTGTTGCCATCAAACCCCAAACTCCACTCACACCCAGTACAGGGCCAGGCACTAAGCGTCAGCTCCCTGAGTCACCTCAACAGCCCTAGGAGTAGGTCACTGTGCTCAGGCCTGTCTTGCAGAGCTCATCGGTGAAGTCATAGAAAACCAACTTAGGCCAGATGCTGGTGAAGAGACTAAGACCCAGAGAGGCTGTCACTTGGCACTCGGGTCACACGACGAGCACAGAGGAATAAAGGTGTGAACCCAGAGCTGTCTGGCCCTTGAGCCCATGCTCTGAATCTGTGTTCCGCTTTCCTAGCTCGAGTCTGAGCACAATTACCAATGAGCACTGCCATGTTCTTGGGGCCTGCGGTGTCCCAGGTGTGACTAACCTACATATAGCACTTGGTTCAGAGAGACCAAGTCATCTGCTCAAGGCCACACAACACTCGAGGTCAGTGGCAGAGCCAGGATTCAAACCCATATCCAAACCAGATCTGCCTCAGGGGCCCGGATTCTTCGTCTCTGCTACACTCTACTGTTCCTGACCCTAGCTGTCACAGCAGCTGCTGTGGGTGGCAGCTTGGTAAGCATCTGCCTTGTGGCTAAGACTGGGCTCGCCCCTCCAAACCCCCATTACCTGTAGGAGTCGCATGTTTACGGTAAAGTCCCCTTCCAGCAACTGCTCCCGGATCAGTCTAAGAAAAAGAAGCAGCAAAAGTGCTGGGACCCTGGGCCGCTCTGAGTGCAGGCCCTGCCAGGCCCCTTCCAGCTTCTTCCTCACCACCCACAGCGCGCTTGGTTTGGCACCACCAAGGATTCCAGAGGCTCTCTCCAGTCACCTGAGAGCAGCTCCTGCCCGCCCTCCAGGAGGGGGCTGAGGGTCCTCCCCTCTGGTTGCTCCCAAGGACTGGCCAGGTGAACCAAGGCAAAGCCATGGCCACACACTCACATGAGCATGGCGCAGCAGACGAGGAGGAGAAAGTCAAAGCGGTTGTCATCGGCGAAGAGGGAGTCCCAGATCCGGATGACATCAGGCAGCAAGAACTCCTGGGACAGCAGCAGTGTCAGCCAGCGGAAGGCAAAGAACTGGGGCTTGATGTTCTGCTCTTGCTGGGGAGAGAGTGGTAGGGGGTGGGGTGCAAGAATCTGGTTTTAGCTGCCACACAGCACCACACAGCCTCTTTTTTTTTTTGAGACAGAGTCTTGCTTTGTTGCCCAGGCTAGAGTGAGTGCCGTGGCGTCAGCCTAGCTCACAGCAACCTCAAACTCCTGGGCTCAAGCAATCCTGCTGCCTCAGCTTCTTGGGTAGCTGGGACTACAGGCATGCGCCACCATGCCTGGCTAATTTTTTCTATATATATTATTTGGTCAATTAATTTCTTTCTATTTATAGTAGAGACAGGGTCTTGCTCTTGCTCAGGCTGGTTTCGAACTCCTGACCTTGAGCGATCCTCCTGCCTCAGCCTCCCAGAGTGCTAGGATTACAGGCATGACACCGCGCCCGGCCCACACAGCCTCTTAAAAGTGAATGCAGACAAACACCAGGGCCCAGGACCAAACATCCAGGATAGAGTGGGCCAGGTGTGAGTGCCAGGTACTCTTATGGGGGCAGCACTAGGCCACCAAAGAGCCTCACCTGGTTAAACAGGCAGGGGCTTCTTGCTGCCAATGTCTTCAGACCTTTTGAGTTTTCAAGAGAAGCCACAAACACATATTTTTTTTTTTTTGCCAGAGACAAGGTCCTACTCTGTCTCCTGGACTAGAGTGCAGTGGCGTCACCATAACTCATTGAAACCTCAAACTCCTAGATTCAAGCAATCCTCCTGCCTTAACTTCTGGAGTAGCTGGGACTACAGGTTACCACATCTGGCTAATTGTTCTATTTTTTGTAGAGATGGGGTCTCACTATGTTGCCCAGGCTAGTGATGAACTTCTAACCTCAAGTGATCCTTCATCTTGGCCCCCCAAAATATTGAGATTACAGGCAAGAGCCACCATGCCCAGGCAATTCATTTTAATTTTTAAAAATGAAGTTAATGCATATCCCAGAGGACTACTAACAGGCTTAACTAGTTTAGTGTATGGTAAATGCCCTGACTGTGCCTGGCACACAACGAGCACTGCTCTCAACTCTCCCCTTCCCTCCCAAGCCTGCCTCTGTGTGCGGTGAGCACCCCAGCAGCAGCAGCAGCAGCCACTTTCAATCCCCAGGCTCAAGCCAGACCTGGCCCCAGGCCTGGGCTGCTCAGGAACTGCTCTGCACCTCTGCCCTGTTCCACCTCTCTGGTTCTGGGGGTCCTCACCAGTTTCAGGTAGAGTTCCACGTCCTTATCCTTCAAGGTGGAGTACACCTTTTCCATCTTGTAGGTAATGCCACACTGGGAGTCATCCAGGCTCTTGATGAAGTTGTCCCGGATCTCAGCCATGAGGTTGGTGAAGCAGAAAAAGGTGTCTGCCTCAGCGTGCTCTGGAAAGACGCAGGGTGCACAGAAGTGGCAAGCATGGGGCCCACCACCCCCACCTACTTTGCTGAAATCTGGCCCCTGTGAGCCCCCCCAGGTTACCCTTCCCTCATGGTCAGGCTGTCCTTCCTCTGTCCTTGACTACACTCCACTCCCAGACTAAGGACATCACTGCTTTCTTCTCACATCTGGCAATGCTGTACACTCACTTAGCAATTTATTACATGCTCTCCTGATGACATTTTTCACAGAAGAAGGTAAGCTTCCTGTATGTACATCTCAGCTCCTCTACCAGAAATGAAGTTACAAATATTATAAGATCAGTAAACATCCAACATTCTAGAAGACTGGAGCCACAAAGGATCTTATAGATGATCTAGGCCAAACCCTCGTGTGACAGAGAGAGAGGAGGCCCGAGGGGGAAAGTGAGCTGACAGCCGGATGCAGCCTGCTTGCCTTGGTCCATTTTCCTAGGAGCCAGCAAGGAGGGATGTGGGCAGCCAAGGGCCTTTTTACCTTTCCACTCGCTGTTGGGGTCAGTGGCAAAGGTATAGTAGAGGGGCCCCACAATCTCATTCATGCCCTGCACGTAAGCGATGCCAGGGTTGAGCTTGGCGTAGATGAACAGGATCCGCTCCACTACCTCCCAGTGGGCCTCACAGCCGTTGGGCAGTACCTCATACTCGTTCAGGGATGATGGTGCAGGGTTCTTGTGTGGGGAGCTCATCTGGGGAGCAGAGGAGGAGCCCATCAGGAAGAACAATGTGTCTTGCCAGAAATATTTACCATTAAGCCTGGACTTAACTTCCAGCTTAGGGAAAATATAAGACATAAAGGAACATGTCAATCACAATTCCAGAATACAGGGCATTCTACAGGACAATAGTATTAAGACCTAATCCTAATTCATGGTGGTAAAAGCCAGAAGAGCAGTTACATCTGAGGCAAAGAGTACTGACAGGGAAAGAGCATGAAAGAACCTTCTGGATGATGGAAATTGTTCTTTTTTTTTTTTTTTTTTTGCTTTTGCTTTAGTGTTTTTGACTTGCAGCAACTGTGGCCTGACAAGATGGAAATGTTCTGTATCTTAACTCTGGTGGTTACAAACGTGTATACATAATAAAATTTATCTAGTTGCATACATACATTTTACTATATATAACTTACAGTTCATTTTAAAACCTTTAAATATATCAAAAACATGACTGGGCAAAACTGTTTAAAAAGTCACTTGTTTGGGGGGCAGGGGAGAGATCTATCTGTCCTACATCAAGAGACTAAAGAAACATAACATCCCAATGCAAGGTATAAACCTTGATTGGATCCCGGTTTGGAATAAAACAATAAAGATACTCTTGGTACAAGTGAGGATGACATCTCAATTGATCCCAGACTGGATATGAGATGATATTATGGAATTACTGTTGATTTTCGTAGATGTGCTATCAGATGCCTGCTGAAGTACTTGGGGATGAAGGGTCAGACAACTGCAACTTACTCTCTCCATATGTGATGCACATAAATAAAGCAACATGGCAAAATGTTAACAACTGTTGCATTTAGATGGAAAGTATACAGATGTGCACTGTACTCTTCTTTCAGCTTTTCCGAATGTTTAGAAATTTTCCTAAGCAAAGGTTAGAAGATATGGATGCAGGCACTTTGTGGTGGTAATAAAATTTAAAAGGAAAAAACAGTTAAAAAACAAAAAAAAAGAAAAGGTTAGAAGATAAAGAGATGATGATCTCTCTGAAAGGCCAGGCATGGTGGCTTATGCCTGTAATCTCAGCACTTTGGGAGTCCAAGACAGGAGGATTGGTCAACACTACAAAAGTGAACTAAGAGTTGAAGTGGGCCAGGCGCGGTGGCTCACGCCTGTAACCCTAGCACTCTGGGAGGCCGAGGTGGGCAGATTGCTCGAGGTCAGGAGTTTGAAACCAGCCTGAGCAAGAGCCAGACCCGGTCTTTACTAAAAATAGAAAGAAATGAATTGGCCAACTAAAAATATATAGAAAAAATTAGCCGGGCATGGTGGTGCATGCCTGTAATCCAGCTACTTGGGAGGCTGAGGCAGCAGGATTGCTTGAGCCCAGGAGATTGAGGTTGCTATGAGCTAGGCTGACGCCCCGGCACTACTCTAACCTGGGCCCCAAAAAAAAAAAAAAAAAAGAGTTGAAGTGACTACTGACAACTCAGTGAGCCATTTACAAGGCATATGTATCTTTTTTTAAGTCGAAACACTGTTGTTTTTTTTTGTTTTTTTTTTTTTGAGACAGAGTCTCACTTTGTTGCCCAGGCTAGAGTGAGTGCCGTGGCATTAGCCTGGCTCACAGCAACCTCAATCTCCGGGCTCAGTGATCCTACTGCCTCAGCCTCCCGAGTAGCTGGGACTACAGGCATGCGCCCCCATGCCCGGCTAATTTTTTTGTATATATATTCTCAGTTGGTCAATTAATTTATTTCTATTTTTGGTAGAGACGAGGTCTCCCTCAGGCTGGTTTCGAACTCCTGACCTTGAGCAATCCGCCCGCCTCGGCCTCCCAAAGTGCTAGGATTACAGCCGTGAGCCACCACCGCCGCCCCGAAACACTGTTAATATTCAGGCACCATTTGTTCCTGTAAATAAATAAGTTTCTAACTGCATTACTAGTGTTAAACACATCAGTGCTTTTCTCCTTCTGACAAAGCTTCTCCAACTATTTACTACACTTCTTTTTTTTTCCTTCGTTGCTAGGCTAGAGTGAGTGCTGTGACATCAGCTAGCTCACGCAACCTCAAACTCCTGTGCTCAAGCGATCCTTCTGCCTCAGCCTCCAGAGTAGCTGGGACTACAGGCATGCAACACTATGCCCGGCTAATTTTTTATATATATATTAGTTGGCCAATTAATTTCTTTCTATTTATAGTAGAGACAGAGTCTCACTCTTGCTCAGGCTGGTTTCGAACTCCTGACCTCGAGCAATCGCCCGCCTAGGCCTCCCAGAGTGCTAGCATTACAGGAGTGAGCCACGCGCGCTGGCCTACACCTCCTTTCTTATTGCTATGATAATGTGGCTGTGTAAATAAAACTACTATACATCCAAAAAAAATAGAGTTTGAGAGCAGCCTGGGAAAACTAGTGAGAAACCATCTCTATAAAAATATTTAAAAATTAGGGGTGTGGTGTTGTGTGACTGTAGTCCCCGCTACTTAGGAGGCTGAGGCAGGAGGATTGCTTGAGCCCAGGAGTTTGAGGTTACAGTGAACTATGATAGTGCCACTATACTCCAGCCTGGGCAACAACCCCAGTACCAGTTGCCCCTCAGGATCCCTTGAATTCTCTAAAGATTCAGGTGTCTGTGCTTCTTAAACCTACTCAATCAGCAGCCCCAGCAGTGGGGGTGACCCAGGCAGAGAGAGTTTATGAAGCTATGCTGGCACTAAGGGTCCTGAGGACATTAAACTCCCTCTCCCCTTACACACACACACACACATACACACACACGTTTACATGCACACATCTCAGTAACATTTACTGAGAGCTTTCTATGTAACAGAGAGTGCTGTACAAACATTCCTCCATAAATAACCCCCTGAACAACCTAGAATACTCTCTCAACATCATTTTCAAGAAGAGGAAACTGAGGCTCAGAAATGTTAGGTCACTCATTAAATGTCTCACACTTAGCAATGGCACTGAGACTTGAACCCAGACGAGCAGAACCAGGCCTCTAGGGCAGGCTGCCGCTCAGAGATGCCCAGCGCTTTCTGCTCTCTAAGAATCTGCACAGCCATGACCTCGTTTCACCCTCCTGGCAACTCAAAAGCCAGGCTGGGCAGAAATGATCATGCCCAGTTTATGTGAAGAGGAAGCAGAGGCCCAGGAACATGAGCCAGGTTTACTTGCCCAGCATCACACAGATGGTCCACTTTAACTCAAACCACCCAACCACAGGCCCAGAGGTCTAGAGATGAAGTTTCTGGTGGGTTCTCTGCCACCAAGACCCATTCCAAAAGTTAAAATGTGTTAAGAGCTCTGCTCTCAGACCCCAGTTACTACAGACAGGGGCCAGTCCCCCAACCCCCCCCCACCCACCTGCCCAGCTGCTCAGCCAGGAAATCCTCAGCCTAGCAGGCTGCCACCAAAATAAGCCACGTGGTTATTTAAGCAAGTGTTCTGCACCTCACAGCACTTCTGCTGCTCCCAACTCTGTCGTAGGCACATGGAACTCTGATATCAGCCCCTGTCCCTGCCACCCTGTCAGAGCCTTGATCAAAGTCATTCCCTTGGGAATGGGAGTCTGCAGCAGTATCCGTCTCTAGCTTGTTGGAGGCTACAGAGAAGGGTTTTTCCATGATAGAGGACAGTGAGAAGTTTGGAGGAAAAAGCCCCTGCTCCAGGTACCAAAGCAGTAGGTGTAAGTTAAGGAACAAGGTAATAACACTTGTTTGGCTACAAGCAGCTTCTCAGAGTTACAGGAATCTGCTAGAAGATTTGGGTTCAAACACCAGCATGACTTGCCCAGCAAGAGTCCCACCAATTCCACATCCTGAGGCTCTCAGATCTATGCCTGCTCCGCCCAGCCCTCCCAACCACCACCTCTTGCCTAGATGACTGCAGCTGCCTCCCGGGTGGCCTCCCCACCTCCAGTGCCCAAAGCAATCCTTTACAAAAGCAGACCTAAATCACCGCCTGCTGAGAATGCTGCAAAGGCTCTCCCCACCCCTCAGGACAAAGGTTCCTTGTGGCCTCACCACCAACAACCTCTTTCCCCTTGCTCTCCGCTTCTAGCCAAGGCCCCAGGACCTTGCACACATCATACTCTCTTCTCCTGAGGACTTTGACATATGCCCTCCTCTCCACCTGGAATGTTCCTTCCTCTTTGTCCTTCAAGCCTTGGCTCAAATGCCACCTCCTCAGGGAAGTCTTCTCTGATACCCTGAACGGGTCAGCCCCCTGCCCATCCCACCCGCCTCACACTTCCTCACCACGTTACTAATCACATTCTCAAAGCCACTTCTGCCATAAGAACAGAAGTGTAGCTTGTTCACCATGATGCAAGGCCCTACCCTGGTAGCCATTATACCAGGTGAAGGGCAATGAACCTTTGAGGCTCAACTTTCAGAGAGAGCCCTAGAGGTGGACCTGGCAGGACCAAAGTTGCTTTGGGTAACTGTCAGGGCAGATGGTTTGGGGCCTGGCACCAGTGGTCCATGGGAGGCAGGAAGGGGGAGGCTGTTAGAGGAGTCCCTGGGGGCCCCAGGTTGGCTCACATTTGTAACCCCGCTCCGGTTCCGGGCCACTGTCTGGGATTTCAGCGTCGTCTGTTCCACTCGCTTACGAAGGGTCTCAAATTCATTCTGAGGGTCCAGGATGAGGAGGCAGGGGTACTCGGTGGCCCTCTGAAAGAAGGATATGTCTGGGCACAACCTCCTGTCAAGAAGGAACAGGAGAGAATCCTGTTACTCAGGATGGTTTTGGCTATTGCATCAGCCCTCTGCTGCTAGGAGACTCCAAGGTTCCCCAAAGCACTGTTTTTAGAGTTTTTTGGTTTTTTTGTTTTAGAAAGGGAGTCCCTGGGTCTGTTCCATCCAAACACTGTTGAAGCAAGAGACAGATCCATGGGACCACTGAACGCACTATCTGTTTGGGGGGTTTTTAATTATTTTACATATTAATGGAAGTTCTCCATGCTCACCCTGGTTTGTTTTTGTTTTCTTTTTGAGACAGTGAGATAGACTCTCACTCTGTCGCATAGACTAGAGTGCAGTGGCATCAGCCTAGCTCGCAAAAATCTATTTTTTGTTTTGTTTTGTTTTCTTGAGATAGTCTCACTCTGTTGCCCAGGCTAAAGTGTCATGGCATCAGCCTAGCTCACAGCAACCTCAAACTCCTGGGCTCAAGCTATCCTTCTGCCTCAGCCTCCTGAGTAGCTGGACTACAGGCATGCACCACATGCGGCTATTTTTTTCTATATATATTAGTTGGCCAATTCATTTCTTTTATTTAGTAGAGACGGGGTCTCTCTTGCTCAAGCTGGTTTCAAACTCCTGACCTTGAGCAATCCGCCCACCTCAGCCTCCCAGAGTGCTAGGATTACAGGCGTGAGCCACCGTGCTCAGCCTTGTTTTTAATTATAACATTTTTTTCTTTCTTATTCCTTGTGGACTCAGGATGGGCATAATTATAACATTTTATTTAAAAACAATATAGGGCCAGGCGCGGTGGCTCACGCCTGTAATCCTAGCACTCTGGGAGGCCGAGGCGGGCGGATTGCTCAGGTCAGGAGTTCGAAACTAGCCTGAGCAAGAGCGAGACCCCGTCTCTACTATAAATAGAAAGAAATTAATTGGCCAACTAATATATATATATAAAATTAGCCAGGCATGGTGGCGCATGCCTGTAGTCCCAGCTACTCTGGAGGCTGAGGCAGAAGGATTACTTGAGCCCAGGAGTTTGAGGTTGCTGTGAGCTAGGCTGACGCCACAGCACTCACTATAGCCTGGGCAACAAGCAAGACTCTGTCTCAAAAATAAATAATAATAAAAAATAAATAAAATAATAAATACAATATAGCCACGTATGGTGGCTCAAGCCTATAATCCTAGCACTTTGGGAGGCCAAGGTGGAAGGATTGTTCAAGGAGGCCAGGAGTTCACGACCGGCCCGAGCAACAGTGAGAACCCATCTCTACAAAAAATACCAAAGTTAGCCAGGTGTGGTGGTGCATGCCTGTATTCCCAGCTACTTGGGAAGCTGAGGCAGGACGACTGCCTGAGCCCAGGGGTTTGAGGTTGCAGTGAGCTACCATGAATGGTGCCACCGCACTCTAGCCCAGGAGGCAGAGCAAGACCCTGTCTCCTACTCTCCCCCAAAAAAGTCATTATATATGTATAGCACCCATATTTTATGTGCATTTCCAAATAGATAACATGCACATTTTTTAAGCATCTTTATGGTCAAACAACCTAACTCTTCTCTTCAACCACAAACATCTTTCAATGTCAAAAACATTTTTCCATGTCAAAAACATTTATCTAGTATGCACAAGGCTATTAACTGTTATGCTGTTTGAAGTAGTGAAAGAGGTTTGGTTAAGTAAGTTATACACCATACAAGAGAATATTATATAGCCAACATGGAGAGATGTCCAAGGCAGAGTAAGAGAAAAAATAAGTTGGGAGACAGTCTCACTAGAATGTGATCTAGTTTTTAAATTAGATGTATTGCAGCATATGCACATTTTGTAGACTTCTTAGACATAGCACATTGCAAACCTGCCCTCTAGAAACACTGAAGGTTGTTCTACAATCACTACACCAGGGTACGACGGAAGCTGCTCTCCTGGGTCAACATGTGGTTCCTGACTTACATGTGGCCATCAGAACACCTTGTGGCAGAGCCCCCTTTCTCCTGCAGCCTGGCTGAGCTACCCAGTGCTGGGGTCCCTTGGGGCCATCTTCAGATGTACCTGGGCAGGGGAGCAGCACCCAGGGTTGTGAGTGTGAGGAGGACCTTTCCCTCGACTTTCCCCTGCCATGTACCATCTTCCCAAGCTGCAGGGCACTCTGGTGCTGGTCCTCAGCCCAGCTGGTCTGCCTCACGGCCTCTTCCTCTTCCTTCATGTCTTGTGCTGAGTCACCGCCTTAGAAAGGCTTTTCCTGATTCCCCCAGTGTAAACAGGACCCCCCTTTTATTCTCTCAGAGCATCAGTTTTTCCTTCTATAACAGCATCTGCAGTATTTGGAACTACATATGTGTTTCTAGGTTTAGTGTCTGTCTCCTCACTTAAACTGGAAGCTCTCCAAGGGCAGAGACCCTTTCAGTCTTGCTTACCCCTAGACCTTTACTCACACAGGCATCCAGCAATTCCTTGAGAAGCAGCCAAATGAAGGTACACCTGACCTTGCAGACCAACTTGGGCACCTGAGAGCTGCCCCTTGGAAGTGCTGAAGGGTCACTGTGTGGGACAGACAGCTAGCTTGTCCTGTCTGACCAAGAAAAATGCCAGAGGAGGATTCAGGTAGGCTGCGGGAAGTAGAATAGGACGAGCTCCCAGAACCCTTCTCCAATGGAGAGCTAATGATTTTAAGGGCCTCCATGTTGTGCTAAGACCAGCACAACAGTTCCATTTATCCATGGAGACCCAGGCCCCACTCTATGCCCTTAACTTGAACCATCTTACTCCTACTTTACAGATATAAAGAGTCATGCTCAGGCCGGGCGCGGTGGCTCACGCCTGTAATCCTAGCACTCTGGGAGGCTGAGGCGGGTGGATTGCTCGAGGTTGGGAGTTCGAAACCATCCTGAGCGAGACCCCGTCTCTACTAAAAAAAGAAAGAAATTTGACCAACTAAAAAATATATATATACAAAAAATTAGCCGGGCATGGTGGCGCATGCCTGTAGTCCCAGCTACTTGGGAGGCTGAGGCAGGAGGATCCCTTGAGCCCAGGAGTTTGAGGTTGCTGTGAGCTAGGCTGACGCCACGGCACTCACTCTAGTCAGGGCAACAAAAGTGAGACTCTGTCTCAAAAAAAAAAAAAAAGAGTCATGCTCAGAAAGCCTGAGTCACTTGCCAAGGTCACACAGCTAACAAGCGGTAAAGGTGGGACTAAAACCAGTCAAATGGACTTCAGAAGCCAGGCTCTCAGCCACTCCACCACCCTGCAGACAAGGCCTTCCTTCTAGCTCCTCGCCCTGCCTTATGGAGATCCCAAATGCTGCCAGATTCCCAACCCGGCAGAGCAGCAGAGCCAGCACTTCCACATTTCTTTAGCAAGTGGAAGGGTGGTCACACGTTGTAGCTCACAATTTTAAAACACACATATCTGACCATGTTGCTGCCTTGCTCAAAGCCTTTGCATGACTGCCCCATGCCCTTACGATCAGGCCCAAGGTCCAGCCCCTGCCTCGTACCCCGGCTCTTACATTGCTCCTTGAATGCACCAAGCTCTGTGGGCTCTCCAGGGCTTCCCAAACCTCCCGCCTGCCAACAGCCTTTTCTTCTTTCCTGAGGCCTCTGACTCCTCAGAAAGCCGCTACCACACTGCTTTCTCAGGCTAGGCCTCCCCCAACCCCCTGAACTTTAAGTCAAAACATTTACCATGAGTGCTAAGTGCAGGTAAGGTCTAACTGGTTGAATGTCTGTCTTTCCATCTTTCCCTCTAAGTTGTAAGCTACTTAAGCAGAAGGACTATGCCTGTCTATTTAGCACTCAACCCTGAGCTTAGCACTGTATATGGCCAGGGCTCAATACTTGTTGAATGAATGATCAGATGAGCCCATGAACACCCAGGACACAAATGAAACTCAAGTGTGGACTAGGAGAGCTGGGCGTGTGCGAGTAGAGCCCCTCCCACATACTTCCCTTGATAGTCTATTCTCAGGCCCATCATCAATGGCACCTGGACCCACAGGGACACTCTACACACACCCTGTGCACCTGGGCTGCAAAAGGAAAGGACAGAGCTGGAGAAACGCCCAGAAGCCCCGTGGGTCAGCCCTTAGCCCCTGGGTGCCCTGCCTACCGGACATCCTTGTCGATTTGCAGCAGCACCTCATTGTCCTTGAAGTACGTGTTCCACCGGCTGTCGGGGCTGGGGTTGAGTGGCTGTGGGGGGAGAAGAAGATGCTTCATCCATGGCACAGCTAGGGCCCAAGGACCGATTCTGCCCTGGAGGCCTGAGCAGTGGCCTTCCCCAACAATCCCACCACACACCCAGCTGTGGCCCTGAGATAGCCTGCAAGCTGCTCAAAGGAGACGGTACAGGCCTTCCCACAGCCTCCCAAACCCCATTCAGACTCCACAGCCGGCAGCTCAGCCAGCAGTTTGCTCTGGTCTAGCCCTGCTGAGCGGGGTCTCTGTTCTTTCTGTTCCTTGCCCTAGCTCTAGAACTCTGTGTGTAACAGGTGCTCATAAGTGCTTGCTAAATGAATGAATGTTATATCATTAGGTTTCTTCAACTGTCATTTATCAATGCTTTGAGTCTTTGGAGGACAGGCCTAGGGTCAATCCCTTTTCATGTCCTGCAGTGTGACGCACGTGGGAGAAGCTCAACCTTTGAAAAGGAACCTTTCTGTGATGCCCTAGGCCACAGAAAGGCAGTTTGTCCCCCTCCTGCCCTGCTCTGACTTCCTTCAACTACACCATCATGGGACCTGCCTCAAGGAAGGTGGACGAGTGTGGAAGGAGACCTTGCCCTTGGGGCACCTGCAGCAGGGCTGCCCACAGCACTCCCGGGACACTGGCCGTTGTTTATACACTGACGGGGCCTGAGGAGGAGTGGGGCAGACAACTGTCCTCGGGGGCTGAGCAACCAAATGCAGAAAGGAGGGACTGGAAGGTCCAGAGGGAGCTAACGCCAGGCTGCTGCACCCATCCTCTGGCATGGGGGCGCCTGGCCTGCTCAAAAGGCCCCACCCGCCTCATTCTCTAGCCTCAGTCCCTGCTGCTCGGTCCCCTTACTCACATGGTCCTCAAAGGTCACATCCTCCCTGGACACACCCATGTTGGCCTTGGCAATGCCAGGCTGGATGATCATTTCCCTCAGGAACTGAGAGTATAGCTCCCTGCGGAGAGGAGAAAGAGTGATGGTTCCCAAAGGTCTTGCTCAGGGAGCCCAGCCCAGACCAGAGAAGCAGCAATAGGAGGCAGCTTGGTCTCGGCACCACCAGCTCTGTCTGACGCAAAGGCCCTCCCGCCATCACCCTTCCACAGGGCCTCACCTCTGCTTGGCCAGGATGGAGGTCCATGAGGCTCTCTCCAAGGGGAGGTAGTTCAGGAGAATCTGCACAGATGGAGATGGGCTAAGCACTGGTGACAACCAGACAATAGGTGGAGGCTGACAGGCCTCAAGAAAAACATCTCATAAAGCCCAGAGAAGACGAGAAGTGCTAGAACCCAGGAACGTCCACATGAACCAGGGCTAGTCCCCCCTTTTCCTCCCCACTGCCTCCCTTCCCCTTTATCCCAAACCAGCCCTTTCCTCCACTTTTCCTCACACACGCCCTTTCAAATGATTCAAACGACAGCACCAACACCACCACTTGTGCTCAAAGGGGCTAGAAACCAGGACACTGGGTTTCCACTGCCACCTTAGCCGACAGCTTTGGAGAAAGCACAGCCTTTGTTTTATCCCAGTAAGCATCACTTCTGCTTGTATGGACCAGGAAGCAGAGGCCTTCACCAGCATTATAAAGTGTCCCATCCCCAAGGAGATCCTGGAGGGGACACCAAGAGCAACAGAAAACCCAGAACTTCCCAGAAAAGCTTCCTCAGACAAGCAAGGAAAGGTGCAGAACAGGAGGAAGGGGCCAGGGTGGGGGCAGCCCATGCAGGAACCCAGGGACCCTCAGCAGAGCAGAAGTCCCAGCCCAGGCACACCCACCTTCCAGCAGAGGCACCGCAGTCCGCCCTCACAGGGGATGCCTGTGGACACAGCAGGCAAAGGTCACGCCCAGGCCAGAGTCCCAGAACCCCCCAGCCCTTCACCTGGGAGCCAGCTGGCAGGGAGTGGAGTAGGCAAGAAGTATTTCTTCAGGAATCATTTTCTGTCAGAAAGATTACTAGACTGGAAGCTAATTCTGTGTGTAATTTCTGAACACGGCCCCAGGCCCTAGCCCAGAGCTCCCTGTGTCTAGAACACTCTTTTGAGGCTAACATCTTCTCATCAGTCTCATCTTTGATATTCTTTCCTCAGAGCAGCCTTTACCAAACCACCGTCTCTTCCCAAAGTCAGGTCTCCCTGTTACAAACAATAATGGCTCTGTGACTTCTTCACAGCATCTATCACAACTAGAATTATATAATATAATTTATGTATTTATTTAACATCTCTAACCCCTACTACTGGGTAAGCCCCAGAAAGACAAAACCAACATCTGTCTATTATTCCCAGTGCCTAGCATGGGGCATGGCACACAGAAAATATTCTGTAAGTATTTGTGGAATAAAAACTAAACTACTTCAACACTTTGCCAAATTTGGTAATCAAAAAAAGAGAAAAAAGAAATGAAATAAATATATGTAATAATAATAAAAAAAAAACTAAGCTACTAATGCTAAGTGCTTTGTACTTTACAGACATTATTTCACTTAATCCTCATTATAAACCCAGTAAGTAGGAAAGATCAGCATCATCATTCTCATCTTACAGATAAGGAAATTTATCTATAAAGACAGAGTAACCAAGGCCTCAACACAGGTCTGACTCTAAAGCCCAAACTCTTAACCGCTGACACAGACTGCCTTCCCTTCCAGGCAAACTTGTCCTGCAACACTGTCAGGAGTCTTGTTAGAGCAGTATCCCTGTGAACATGAGCTAATGCCCCCCACTCAGAATGACAGGGATAATGAAAGAACTTCTTGTTGGCAAAGTTACAGGGGCAAGGTAGTGACAAGAAGCTTCACGGAACACTTTGGGGTATTTTTAAACACAAGCAAAAAGCAGATAATTAACCATGCCAGGGAGGGCAAAGTCAAACACTGTGGAGCATAAGCTTCTTAAAGTTAGTGTCCCAAGGCTGAAATTTTGCCATTAACCAAAATGTACTGTCACCTCAGCTTAGATCCCAAGACAGGGAGAGAACCAGGAACCACCTTGCAGCTAATCAAATTCCACAACATAGGAAGCTAGCTGAGAAATGAGGAAAGGCCTGACCTAGGCACTAAATGCCCACTTTCATTCTCCCATTTCCAGTCCTCTCCAGTTACTTTCAAGAACCTGGTGACTCCTGTCTAAGGCCTAAAGGTATGCTAACTGTGGCCACAACTCCTCTGGGAAAGCTCTCCAAGCTAAGGACAGTCACTGCTTGTTTAGCTCTCCAGAACCTGGAGAAGGCCTCAGGAGTGAGGCTGGCCCCTAGAACTGACCAGGTGTGGCCCTCAGCACCTTCCCCTCCATGCCAGACACAAGGCTGCTCTAGGGAAACTCTGAAAACTCAGAGTTGCCTCTTACCACTAAAACTGAGTTCTCGAAGCTTTTCCAATGCAATTGAGGGCTCCTTCAGGACATCCTGGAAATCTGCAATCCTGGAGGGGGGAGAAGGCAAATGAAGCACACTCAAATCCTAAGGTGGCAGGCTTAGTGACAGCCTGCTGCCCACAGCTCCCTCACACCTCCAGTCTCCAACCTGTCCCTCCTTTCCCTTCAGGGCATAAAAACCCAAAGCTCATTCAAGGTCCTCACCAAAAGCAGCTCTGGGGAACAACAGATCTATAGAGTATTTCTTCCTCTAAGTTTAGAAACATAGAATGCCAGTGAAGAAACTTGAGATATTTATTATCTAGAGGTTCTCAACTGAGCACCATAAAATTAGACACATTTTGATATTTAGTGAACTGACATTTACTGGGCACTTCCTGCTGGCCAGGCCCGGCTCACAGCACAGCCAGGACCTTAACTCTATGAACCCTAGGAACCAGGGTAATTTGATCCGCAGACGATGGACCTGTGCAATCTGCGCGCAGCTCTCCAAGCTCACAAATATAACCATTACAAGACCTCTGGGCCTGTCCACAGGGAAGGACAAAGGTATAAAAAGCACATCCTGAAGGAAAACTGAGGAGTGAGCAAAATTTAGCCAATGCTGCAGGATCTGGCTGGGGGAGGGGAAAGATTGGAGAAAGCAAGTTCTCTAGCATTTCTACTAAGAAAAGGGCACAGGGAGAATTTGGATAAAGAATACAGAGGCAGAGGGGTTTAAAAGGGAGAAAGGGACGGGGGCAGGGCATGGCGGTCTGGATGGGGCAGACACCAGGGGAAGGGGGAAACCAGGGGTCCAAGGGAAGAGAGACAGAAGGGGTGACAGCAGGGGCAGGAGAAATGCCTCCGCTCCGCCCTCCCCCTGGCCCACAGCAATGAGGTTAGAAAGTGGCCTTCCGATTCCTGGCCGCGCCGTCGCTCCCACCCTCTGCGGGACAGAAGGGGCGGCCTGGCCAGGAGTAGTCTGGCCGACTCAGACCGTGGCCCCTTACCGGCTCTTGTGCAGACTCGACATGGTGTTGACTTCCGGACCCCCCAGGTGCCTCTGCAGCCTGTACCGCTGCTGCCGCCGCCCCCCAGGGACGCGGGGCGTCTGGCAAAAGCCTCCGGCCGGAAACACAAGCACAAGCCTGAGTGTTCCGCCCCGCCAAGTCCTGCCCCGCTGGCCCCGCCCCGCCCTGTCACGTGTTACCCTCTGCTCTCCGCCTACCCATCCACCCTAACCCGGTCGGGCTGCAGCTCTGGCGAGGATAGAGGGACCTGGGTCGCGCTGCCGCGGTCTGGCGAACCCTGCGAGGAAAGTGTGAGGACCTACCAGGGACAGCGTAGACTGTGTGTCCCTGTGCTATTGCTTGCACTTCCTTCCGCCTGAGTCTCTATCTGCGCAATATACCCGTCACTCTATCTTCCGTACACGTACCCCACCTGTAATTATGAATGTCAGTCCCCTCTGCTAAACTGTACAGGCCTCTGGGCTTCTCCTGTTCACTTCTGAGTCCTCAAGGACTGTAGCAGTGACCAGCACTGGCCAGGTAGCTCAGTAAATACTGGATGGAGGAGCACGACTGCAATTCAGTGTTTCCTTTTGTTTTGGATTTTATAAACAATAAAATTTCAGTAATTTTACCATAATTTCAGAACAATGGAAAAGGAAAGCCAAGATTTCAGAAATCCTTTCCAAGAAAACACAGTTGGCAGCCCTAAAATGATTTTCTCTACACATTTATGCATATGTGCATATTGGCCTTATTCTTTTAATTTATCCACAGGTCAGTGAAAACTTTGACACTGGACTGTAACCAACCTCTTCTCCCCTCCAGCTTTCACGTGCCTCCCCACGAGGATTTCATTTGCCCAATACAGCAGGTACACATATCTGTTCCTTCATTCACTCATTCTACAAACAATTTCTTTTTTTATTTTATTTTATTTTTTCCACTCTGAGTTACCAACTGAATCTACAAACAATTTCTGCTCCCACTATGTACTGGGCACTATGCTAAATGTTTCTGCAGAATACAAAGATTAACTTTTTTTGGATGACATATAAAAAAGGAAGAAACATTGACTTAATTTGTACAAGAGGCAAGGAATAACTTTTGGATAAAAAGAATACCAGGCAACCCTTTAAAATGTTAGTTAGGAAGACAGGAAAAACACACATGATATCTCAGGAAAAATACAGACAGTTGGCTGTCATTTGGAAAAAAATAAAATTCTATTCCTACCTCACATCTAACACAAAAATAAATTCGAAATTAATTAAAGCTCTGAAAAGGAAAAATCTGGTGGATACACTGCACCTGTAGTCCCAGCTACTTGGGAGTCTGAGCCAGGAGGATCACTTGAGCACAGGAGTTCAAGGCAGTGAGCTGTGATCATGCCAATGCTCTCCAGCCTGGGTGGCAGAATGAAACTCTGTCTCTGGGGAGAAAAAAATAAAGGAAAAATCTATAGGATTAGAAGAACAGTATAAAGAAAAATGTTTACAATCTTAAGGCAGACACAAAGCCCAGAAACCACAAAAGATAAGACAATGATATAACCACATGAAAGTTAAAATCTCTGTGGTAAAGTAAAAGACAAATAGCAACAGGGGAAAATATTTGCATCTTTTATGAAAAGAGTTAATATCCCTTACATATAAAGAGATAGTAAACCAACAAGAAAAAGACAAACACACCCATGGGGGGAAACATTAATTCATTCAAGAAATTTATTATCTATGATGTGCCAAGCACAACCTACATATTGGGAATTTAGTAGTGAACAAAACAGACAAAAATCATGCCCTTGATGCATTGACATCTCAGTATGGGGACATAGATGTTGAATAAGATAAATAAGTTTTGTGTAGGTCGCTAAATAGCCATGGTAAAAATTAAAAAAAAAATAAAGAGGTTAAGAATCTTAAATTAAAAAAAAAGAAAAAAGATAAATAAGTAAACTGAGTGATGTGTCAGATGGGGATGTATCCTACAGAGAAAAATCAAGCAGGAACGGGGGCGTTGCTGAAATCTTAAATAGTGGAGTCAGGAGGGCTTCTCTGAGGTGACATCTAAGCAAACACTTGAAGGAGGTAAGACAGTGAAGCATATAAGCAGGCACATCAAAGGAGAAATAAAAAGTCCCAAAACCTGATAAGACATTAAATTGTACTACTCCTCAAAGGAGTACAAACTGAACAAGCACATTTTGCCTCCTGGATTGGTAAGAGCAACCCATATTTATTACAACCACCACTAGTAGGAGGTGGAGAAACCAACTTCTTTCAGTTTTTAAGAATTAACTGGTGCAGCCTTTTCACAGAGCAATTCGGCAAGTATTAATACAATTTGTAAAAAAAAAAAAAATAGTATGCTTTTTTTTTTTTTTTGAGACAGAGTCGCTTGTTGACCAGGCTAGAGTGAGTGCCGTGGCGTCAGCCTAGCTCACAGCAACCTCAACTCCTGGCTCAAGCAATCCTTCTGCCTCAGCTCCAAGTAGCTGGGACTACAGGATGCGCCACCATGCCCGGCTAATCTATATATATTAGTTGGCCAATTAATTTCTTTCTATTTATAGTAGAGACCGGGTCTTGCTCTTGCTCAGGCTGGTTTCGAACTCCTGACCTTGAGCAGTCCGCCAGCCTCAGCCTCCCGGAGTGCTAGGATTACAGGCGTGAGCCACCGCGCCCGGCTTAGTATGCTTCTTTTTTTAAAACCAAACTCTTTGTTTTTAAATCATTATAGTTTCACAGGAAAGTACAATGATAGTACAGGGAGGTCCTTTGTACTCTTCATGAAGTTTCTCCCATGGTTTTATTTTAATACAATGTTAACACCTTTCCTAAAATGTAATTGATGGTACATAAACTGCACATAATTTAAGTGTACAATTTGATAAGTTTAGAAATATATATACACTTGTGAAACCATCAAATAAATGTAAACAATTAAAATAACAAACATATTCACTGCCTCAAAACATTCCCCCTGCCTCTTTATATTTCCTCCCATACTCCTCTTTCTGCCTACCCTATCCAACCCCCACACACCCTATGCACCCTCCATGCACCCTATCGACCCCACACCCAGGCACTGATGTGCTATCACTATAAATTAGTTTGCACTTTCTAGAATTTTATATAAAGGGAAGCATACACACCTTACATCTAGCTCCTTTTAGTTAGCATAATTATTTTGAGATTTCTGTGTGTCAGAGCATGTATCAGCACTTCATTCCTTTTTGTTGCTGTGTAGATTCAATTATATGAACATACCACAGTTTATCGATTCACCTGTTGATGGATATTTAGGTTGTTTCCGGTTTGAGGCCATTACAGATAAAGCTGCAATGAACATTCATGTACAAATCTTTATTTGGACATATCCTTCCATTTCTCTTGGAGTGCAATGGCTGGATCATATGGTAGATGAATTTTAAATTCAAATGCCAAAAATTTTCCAAAATAGTTGTATCCTTTAACACTTGCACCAGCAGTGTATACAGGTTCCTGTTGTACCATATCCTCACCAATACTTGGTATGGTCAGTCTTTTTAATTGAATTTAATTTAGTATTTATTTATTAGAGACAGGGTCTCATTTTGTTGCTCAGGCTGGAGTGCAGTGGTGTGATCATAGCTCACTATAACCTTGAACTCCTGGGCTCAAGCAATCCTCCTATCTCAGCCTCTTGAGAAGCTGGAACTATAGGTGGGCACCACCATGCCGGGCTCTATTGCCCATTTTTTTTTATTGAATTGCTTGTTTTTGGGGTTTTTTTAGACAGGGTCTCACTCTGTTGCCCGGGTTAGAGTGCCGTGGCATCAGCCTAGCGCACAGCAACCTCATACACCTGGGCTGAAGTAATCCTGCTGCCTCAGCCTCCTGAGTAGCTGGGACTACAGGCATGTGCCACCATGCCCAGCTAATTTTTCCATATATTTTTAGTTGGCCAATTAATTTCTTTCTATTTTTAGTAGAGACGGGGTCTTGCTCTTGCTCAGGCTGGTTTTGAACTCCTGACCTTGAGCTATCCACCCTCCTTGGCCTCCCACAGTGCTAGGATTACAGGCGTGAGCCACTGCGCCTGGCCCTCGGCTAATTTTTTCCATATATTTTTAGTTGTCCAGTTAATTTCTTTCCATTTTTAGTAGAGATGGGGTCTTACTCTTACTCAGGCTGGTCTTGAACTCCTGAGCTCAAACAAACCACCCGCCTCAGCCTCCCAGAGTGCTAGGATTACAGATGTGAGCCACTGCGCCCGGCCTCTTAATTTTTAATTGTGGTGAAATACACATAACATAAAATTTACAATTTACTATTACCAGTGGTTATATTTTTAAGTGTACAATTCAGTCTGGGTGGGGTGGCTCACGCCTATAATCCTAGCACTCAGGGAGGCTGAGGCAGGAGGATTGCTTGAGCTCAGGAGTTTGAGACCAACCTGACCAGAGCGTGATCCTGTCTCTACTAAAAATAGAAAAATTAACCAGGTGTGGTGGCATGCGCCTGCAGTCCCAGCTACTCAGGAGGCTGAGGCAGGAGGATAGCTTGAGCCCAGGAGTTTGAGGCTGCAGTGAGCTACGATGGCGCCACTGTACTCTAGCCAGGGTGACAGAGACTCTGTCTCAAGGAAAAAAAAGTGTACACTTCAGTAGTGTTAAGTACATGCACATTGCTGTGCAAACAATCTCCAGAACTCTTTTCATCTTGCAAAAGTGAAATTCTATATCCATTAAACAATTTCCCATTCCCCTCCTCTTTACCCCACCCCTTGACAACCAACACTCCACTTTCTCTCTGTTTGAATTTTACTACTCAAGGTCCCTCATATCACACATCATTTGTCTTTTTGTGACTGGCTTATTTCAGTTAGTATAATGTCCTTAAGGTTTGTCCATTTTGTAGCATATGTCAGAAATTCCTTCCTTTTTAAGGTTGAATAATATTCCATTGAAAGTTTATACAACATTTTGTTTATCCATTCATCTGTCAATGGACACTTGGGTTGCTTCCACCTTTTGGCTATTGTGAATAATGCTGCCATGAATATGGATGTACAAAGATCGCTTCAAGACCCTGTCTTCAATGTTTTTGGTTGTATGCCCAAAAGTGGAATTGTTGGACCAAATGATAAAACTATTTTTAACTTTTT